ACTAATTAACCAACCTATCAGTAAATTATTAAACCAATCATCCAACCAACCGACCAACCAACCAGTTAATCAACCTATCAGTAAATTATTTAACCAATCAACCAATTAACAATCAACCATCAAACCAACCAATCAGACATCCATTGAGTAACTCGCTCAATCAATCAATAATAAATGAAGCATACAGTTTTCTAACCTGTCTGCCAACTTCGTTATTATGTAAATCAACTAATCCTTTCAAATCCGACATTCTCTTCTTCCTCACCGCCATTTTTTTCTCCGCCATATTGTTATCCGCCATCTTGTTTTTCATTTTATCTTTTTCCGTTTTGACAAAAATTCCATTTTTCAGCAGTTGTTTTTTGATTGGTTTGTCGGTGAAAAGTTTGGCGTAACTTAATCCGTAGTCGATGTCGTCGCTACAACCACCCCACTTCCATGTGTCGTCGTTGAAGCGATTGTTGTTGTTGTTGCTGATGTTGTTGTTGATGTTGTTTTTGATGTTGTTGTTGTTGATGTCGTTGTTATTTCTACTCCTGCTGTCTTTCCGCTTCCGGTTTTTGCTACTGCTTTTATTATTTCCGGCAACAGCTACGTCATTTCCTCTTCTGAGATCTGACCCCGTGACCTTGTCGGCGGCGACAACATCATTTTTGATAGCAGCAGCAGCAACTCCTCCTCCATTACTTCCATCTCCATGGCTACTATAACTACTACTACTACTACTACTACTACTACTACTACTACTACTACTACTACTACTACTACCAGACGATGACGATGGTGGTGGCGATGATGAAAATGAAGAAGCTGCAGCCGACAGCAATGGTGACGACAGAGATGATAACGATGACGATGATGAGGATGATGAGGATGATGATGGGATAGAAAGACAGGAACATCTGAGAAGTTTTCCAGAACTGCAAGCTTCAGTGACGGTGAAGACAACTCCAGCGCTCATAACAGCCTGCATAAATGCTTGCTCTTTTGTGCCTTTGAAGATGGTAGTCATGGTGATAATTTGGTGATGATTTGGTGATGATTTGGTGATAATTTGGTGTTAATTTGGTGATAATTTAGAAATAATTTGGTGATAATTTAGTAATAATTTGGTAATAATTTGGTGATAATTTGGTGACAATTTAGTGGTAATTTAGGGATAATTTGGTGATAATTATGGTGATAATTATGATTGGGTGATAGTTATGATGACAATCATGGCAAAAAAATGATGATGATGATGATCATCATCATCATAGAAGGAAAAAATTGTTTTATCATCAATCAATCATTTGTTCGTTCTTTCGTTCATTCATTCACCTCCCATCTCCACTAACCGTGATTGGTTAACGCCGCTGCTTCTCCGTCTGGCTGTATCATTTTCCGCTTGGTGACGTCATCATCCTCATCATCATCAACAACAACATTATTATTATTGTTGTTGCTGTTGTTGTTTTTGTTGCTGTTGGCTCCGTCATAAGCATCGTCGTCATCACTGACGTTGATGTCGCTGCGAGGTTTTTTTATTTTTCTTTTCTTTCTTGTGCTTGATGACGACGACGACGATGATGGTGATGATGATGATGATGACAATTCAACTTTTCTTGCGTGCTTCATGATATTTACAATGTCGGCGTTGTGATTTAAATGCAATTCATTTGATGGAACATGGATATTCCGATCGTTACCACTACTACCATCACTACTACTACTACTACCACTACTACTACTACTACTACTACTACTACTACTACTACTACTACTACTACTACTACCACTACTACTACTACTACTGCTACTACTACTACTACTACCACTACTACCATTACTACCACCACTACTACTACCACTACTGCCGCCATTTTTAAACCGAAAATCTCCATCGGGGAAATTCCCAAAATCTGGAAATAACCTTTCCACGCCTCCTGATTCGATGTTGCGAGCAACCGTTGCCGAACAGTTCCAGCGTTCGTAACGAAATTGATGAAAGCACTCGCTTAGGCCGAGTCGTCGCCCAGACACTGCTGCCAGAACTGAAAAATGGTCGCCGAGGCATAGCGAAAGTTGCTCCGACGAAATGTAGCCATGTTGTTGTAGTAATTGGCATGTAGTCGTCTGGTTGAGTTGTAGTGGCTGTGGCGATTGTGAATTATGTAGTATCAGTTGCTGTTGTTGTTGTTGAGGTTGTTGTTGTGATGAATATTTTTGTTGTAAAATGATATTTTTGTTGTTGTTGTTATAATCCAAGTTGTAGTAGTTATAGTTAACAATATCCTTGACATCATTTGGGCGTTTGTTTTTATTCTTTTTATTTACTTGTTTTGGCTGCTGTTGTTGCTGTAACTGCTGCTGTGGTCGCTGCCTTAGCTGTTGCTGCTGCTGTTGTTGTCGTTTCAATTTGTAATCTGCTGCGAATGGAATTATAGATTAGATTAAAATGTCAAAAATTTAATTGGCGAGTTAAACCTTACAGAAACATTACCAGTGCCTAAGCGGTTGGAGCAGTGTTAGCGTCAATAAAAATGATATAGTTATACTACGACACTACTACTACTACTACTACTACTACTACTACTACTACTACTACTACTACTACAAGCATTAATAGTAGTAGTTGTAGTAGTAATGGTAGTGGTGGTAGCAGCAGCAGCAGCATCAGTAGAAGTAGTAATAGTAGTAGAAGTATCAGTTATTGTGGTGGTAGTAGTAGTTTAACACCATTTATAGTTGTAGTAATAGTAATAACAGTACTACTACTACTACTACTAATAATAATAATAATTATAATAATAATAATAATTAATACTTATTATAATTATCATTTAAATAATATTACGTCATAAATATTTGTGATAGTTTGAAAGTTTACTGCTGTTATTACGACTGCAATTAAATAACCTGCGGGTGATTGCGAAGATTCCAGCGAAATCAAATTGTCATCTTGTTGTTGTCGTTGTTGATGTTGTTGTAGTTGTTGATGTAGTTGTTGATGTTGTTGTTGATGTTGTTGTTGTTGATGAGGTTGTTGTTGATGAGGTTGTTGTTGTTGGTGGTGGTGTTGTTGTTGATATTTAGGCTTGTTTTTTTGAGACAAACTTACAAATTTCTGGTTATTTTGCTGCTGCTGTTTTTGTGGTTGCTGCCGTTGTGGTTGCTGCCGTTGTGGCTGCTGTTGCTGCTGCTGTTGTTGTTGTTGTTGTTGCAGCAGCTGTTGTTGTTGTTGCTTTAATCTTTCAATTTGTTGAAGTTTTTGATACTCATCAAAAATTCTTTTCGTCTCTAGGTAGAGAAACATGCGTTCGTCATGGTGAGGTTGATCATTTTGATGTTGCTGTTGTTGCAGCAACTGTTGTTGTTGCTGTCGCGGTTGCTCTAGTTGTTGTTGCCAACGTTGTTGCAGTTGTTGTGGTTGTTGCAGTTTGTTGTTGTTGAATCCATAATCATCGTAATAATAGTAGCTGTATTGGAGTTGGTTTGTTTTGAGTTGTTTGTTGTTGTTGTTGATGTTGTTAAACTTCTTGTTGTATTTGTAGTTGTTGATGTTCTTATCTTTGTTACTGTAGTTATTGTCGCTACTACTGCTGCTGCTGCTGCTGCTGTTGTATATGGCTTCTTTACGTGTCAAGCTACGTGTCGGAATGTTTCTGAAATTCAATTAACAACATCATTTATCATCTTATGACTACTACGACTACTACTTCTACTACAACTACCACTACTACACTACTACTACTACTACTACTACTACTACTACTACTACTACTACTAATACTAATACTACTACTACTACTAGTAGTACTACTACTAATACTACTACTACTACTATTATTATTATTTTTATTAAAAGAAACCTTTCATTTAAGCAGAAACTTCCGCCAAGCAGTAATAACGAAGTGACGACGACGACGATGATGTTGAAGGCGTTGGTGATGATGCTGTTGTTGTTGTTGTTGTTGTTGTTGTTGTTGTGTCTTGGTCGAGTCATCTGAAACGTCAAGACGATGATTATGATGATGATGATTATGATGATGATTATGACGATGGTGATGATGGTGGTGATGATGACGACAACGACGACGATGATGGGGGTGATGATGGTGATGGTAAGTAGTATCAAAGATATATCTGATATATCAATATCGATGTTACATCGGTAACAATGGCGGTGATAATAACAACGAAGAATTTACCCTTTTTTTACATGATTTCCGATAGGTATCATGATATCATGGTGGTATCATCCATTGGTTATGATATTTATCTATCCGAGTGAACGATCACAGACTGACTATCAATCAATACATCTCAATATTTATCATGGTGATAGTAATCAGAGTTAACGCGAATATGTAATTCAATAAGCTAAAACACCAAATGTTGCTTGTATATATTCCTCTATGTATAGTTCTACATGCTTTAAATAAGCTTTATGGGCTATTTGTATGTTATATATACACTCATATATGTTATATGTTAAATATAGGCATATATATTTGCCATGCGAATCATATTCTATATTCCTTATATATTAATATATACATAGTTTTATATTGTTATATATATATATATATATTTAGCCAACATGTCAATCATTTCACTCATAACCACGCCTTCTTTCTGTACATATGATCATATATGCTATGTACATGTTTAGATTATTTATATTTGAGTTATATAAACTATAATTTAAAATATAAGCAGCCGCAACGACAGCCGCAACGACAACCTCAACGACAGCAGCAGCAGCAGCAACAACAACAACAACAACGACATGTGATCAAGCAAGATGAAAGGCACTGATGGATGGAATCAATGACTCGTTAGAAGCACTGGCCATTGTCATGTTAATTAGATGTGCTAATGTGTGGCTGACTACTGACACCCACCACGGCAGTGACGATGACGACGATGATGAGATGATGATAAAATGATGATGATGAGGAGGAGGATGATGATGATGAAATGATGATGATGATGACGATGGTAGTGGTGGTACTGATGATGACAAAAATGACTTCGGGAATATTCACCTCAATTAGCCTTTGTCATCTGCCGAGAATAATGATGATGAAGACGACGACGATGATGATAGTGATCATGAGAATGATGATGATGAAGACGACGACAATGATGATAGTGATCATGAGAATGGTGATTATGAAGACGACGATGATGATAGTAGTGATGATGAGACACCTACCGACACATTCTCTTTCGTGGTTGTTGAATAGTAAATATACATTGTACTTAACAATTTGCAACAATGTGTATGTGTGTGTGTGTGTGCTTGTATGCGTGTGTGTATGTAGTAATAAACTTTGTGTAACTTTGACAAAAGTGCTCCCAAAATAATTATTCTACAAAAAAGCCAAAAACGTTTAAAAGCAAATTGTAAGTACAGGCAACACTGCTTTGTTTACTAATTCATGTGATTTTTGCCTAAAAAGTTAATTAAATTCTGGCCGTGAAATGTCTCTTGACACTATTTTTCGGGGAGATTTTTGTTAGCAGTTTTAAAAGTTTTGTCTGTGAAGGAAATTTTTAATTTTCAAACATTTTTATTTTTGTTGTTAATTTTAAACTACTTTTTAAAATTTAAATAATTAATTATCATACCGAATAATTTATTCATAATTTATTTATTATTTAATAAATTTATAATTTTTTATTTATTTTTTTCATTTTGTTAATTATATTTCTTGACCTTTTTATCAAATTATTTTTATATTACAATGAAATATTAAAATAAAATTTTACTAACAAGTTTTTAATTCATTTTTTTCCCAATTTTAAAATTAATTTGATCTTAATTTTTAATAATTAAAAATTAATTATAATTTAATTATAATTAAATACCCAGAGATCAGTTTCTTATTGATAGAAGAAGCCAAAAGAAGGGAGAATGAGCATCATGATGAATGCTTACCTGATTGAATCCTTGAGAAATATTAAGTCTTTTCTAGATGGTTTATAAATATTCTTATTATTAATTTATTTATATATTTTATTATTTTCATTATTATTTATAAATAGTTGCTCTAATGTAAATGTAATATAGTTTAAATTTAAAATTCCACTACTTAATGCCTAACAATTTAATCCTAACTCAGTCATAATTTACATCAAATAAACACTTACTATTTTTACTATCATTAATTATTATTGTTATTATTTATTAATCACACTAATTTAGCGCACTAACTGACACTAAACTAACATTGGTGTAATTCAGATTTAGACACAAAGATTCCTAATGCAAGAACAAACGTGGTTCTTCGACTATCAGAAGAGCATCTTCTCGACTTGCAGACCGGCCTACGTATATTTCACGAGCACGAAGAGTTACCATTCGACGCCAGTGACATTAGCAACGTTGAGGATTCAAAGTTGAACTATGACCTCAGATGTTTGTGCCACTATGTTCAGGAACTAGAAAATTTAGAGGTGTGTATGCGTGTGGTTGTTTGCAGGTTAAAGGATAAAGGTCATTCTCACTTTTGCACTTGCTCCAGAGGTTATGGTTAGGATTAGCAAATATAAGTGTGTAGGGTATATGTATGTACATTTTTATGTATATGTGTGTACATATTTTTTTATTTGTGTGTATGCACATACACAGGGTATATATGTTTGTATATGTTTCTTTGTTTGTACGTATGTTTGTGTATTTAAAAAAAAACTTCTTTCTAGTTGTCAGCCCCAAACACACACTACTGCATGTATAATAAAAATAATAATAATATAATAATAATATTAATAATAGTAATAATAATAATAACGTTCAAATAGATCGTGCCGAACGTCCATCCGCCCATCTCTCCAGACCTCCTCCACACATCGCTGGACGACGCCGAAGCATGCCAGCCGGTGGATATAAACCTCGACGACTTTACTAACATCGTAACGTTGAATATCAGGGAGATCGATATTAAGAGATTAAAGGGCCTACTGGTCATGGCTGATAAGATTAGATCGATGTCGCTAACGAGGTGCAATATTGGTTCTTTAAAGGTACCTATTTCTACTTCACTACTACTCCATATGTTTTACTCTAACTTAATATACTATACTTTAGTACTAATCTATGTATTTTATTTACTACTACTAACTTGTTTTTTTTATAAGATTTAAGATTAGATTGATGTTCTTGTTGAATAGAGTAGGGGTTCTTTAAAAGGATCTCTCTCTCTCTCTCTCTCTCTTTCTCTCTCTCTCTCTCTCTCTATATATATATATATATTTATATATGTTGGTAATAGACCATAATTTTTACAATATTCTATAAATTCTACCGAATGTTTGGCGTTAATATGTTACTGTAGTTCGTTTATTCGATTATGCCCTCGTGTATGTGTGTTATACTTATGCGTAATCCTACGCATGGCTATATATATATATATATATATATATGTTGGTAATAGAATATTGTAAAAAAAAATATATATATATATAACGTAACAACTGTTGCGCATATTTTTTTTTATCCGTTTATTTTTCAGA